CTGCGGCCGCTGACCGTCCCACTCGGGCGATCTGGAGCCCGCGAGGCTTCTCACTCCGCGTCTGCACAGGCTGTCAGAAGATTCCGCCGGCCCGGCAGCGCAGGCCGCCACTGGGCATAAGCCAGGAAGGAAACTAACCCACAGTCCCTTCCCAGTCGACCTTCTCTCGGGCCGTCTCCTCGCGCTCGCGCGCACCTGGGGCTCCCTGCACCGGCAGTTAACGTGGAGGGCGACATGCTGGGCCTGCCATCCCGGGAGCCGAGGCCGTGGAGGCCCGCCTGCACCTCCCCCTGCGATGCTGCCCACGCGGCCCCAAGAGCCAGAGGCCAAGGGACTTCAGGATCTGGAATGTCGGCTGGAGTTGAGGTCCTGCCCCTTGCGAATCATGTGATCTCGGGCAAATCGCGTCATCTCGTGGGTCCTTGGGTTTTCTCACTGTAAAACACACAACTCCTGCCTGGCTCATCTCCCCCCTTCTCCAGGCGCAAACGAGGCGTCCGTGAAGGTGTTTAGAAGTCAAACAAATTCTCCAAACCACCTTGGGTATTACAACTAAGGGACAACGTACACGCATGGAGAACGATGGAGGTCCACACACACATGCCTGCAGAGCTGTGGGACCCCCAGATCCTGGACCCAAGGATCAAGCCAGGAGTAGGGTGACCTCAGAAAGAGGGCTGGCAACGGTGGTGACGCTCTGGTTGGCTCTTTGTTGAAAGGACCCCAAACTCAAGACTCAGGGTGGCCCTGAATGGGGCGTTCTAAGCCTCCCCCTGGGAATGCACTGGGACGTCTGGAGCAGCCGTTCCCCAGGGACTGCTGCTAGGCGAGCAGCAAGATTTCAGATCCAAACCAGTGAAACACCTGTCTCTCCAGCCCTAGTCATTCCCAGTCCACAACCGTGAGGACACACCCACTGCAGATTTGGTAGAAGGATCGCGACTGATTACACAGAAACATATCACGGGACATGCTTTGGTAGAGTACTTGCCAGTTTAAAATATTGTTGTTATTACGTAACTGTTTTTATTTCATTTTAAATGGAGAAAAAATGAGCGCTGCTGTGAGCTGGCTTTGTTGGGCTGGTGTCATAATTATTCTCCTGGGGTTATCACCACATCATGCCACCAAGTCCCCAACTTCAAACCAGCTAGGTCTTAGAACAAAAACAAACTGTTAGGTTGGCAGAGTTCCATCAGGTGTGGGCTATGCAGCTGCCTAACTGGGTAATTAATTCAGGATCACAAAAACCACATTTGGTGCTGAATGGTTGCAAAACCACCCAGGGAATTTCCTGTTCTCTTTAGGACAGAACTTAGGACACTAACTTCTTTCCTGCCTCTTCTTACAAGCCCGTTCCCTCTACTTCCAGTATGACTGTTTTTTCCTCTTTCTTTTAGAGATGGGGGTCTTGCTCTGTTGCCCAGGCTGGAGGGCAGTGGCTATTCGTGGCCTTGAACTCCTGGGCTCAAGGGATCCTCTTTCCCTAAACTCCCCAGAAGCTAGGATTACAGGTGTGTGATACTGTGCCCAGCTTATGGTGCATTTGCAGTGTCAGGTGAACATATTACATTTTAAATATCAGCTTTTCTGCAGTAGGAAGTGACCATATTAAACTGTTTCCTCTAACCTGCCCCTTCAGACTCTCAAACGTCAATAAAATAATTATAAGTGGCTACTCATGCACCTGAGAAGTATTTAAAAGTTTTTGCAGATCCTAAAAACTGGAACAACTTTATACACTATGACTGAAAAAGTTTTTTCAGATAACTAGGATAAAAAAAAATGCATGTGGATGAGGCTACGACCCATCCAAGCTATGCTGCTCAAGATAACTGTGGGCAACACTTACTCTGACATTCAAATAAAAATGGTTAGTCAGTGGAAAACAGGACCTATTGCAAAACGAATGCAAGAGCGCCACCTGCTGGGTGTCTGAGGAAGAGGGTTGGGCTGGGCTTGCAAAGGCAGGAAACCCTTAAGGCTTCTAGATTAAATCACTGAAATGGGTAAGTGTGTGTACTGGCACCTTAAATGAGAATCTTCTTGTTACTGCCACCAAGTAAATGATGGTAAACACTGCAGGCATCAAATGCATCATTTATTCCGGCTCTTCTCTCCCCAGCTTCCTTGTAACAGCCAAGAGTGCCTGTGTGGCTTTCACTGAGTGGCAAATCAGGTTTCCAGCATGAGCACAGATACTCTTTTGGGGACTAGGGGGAGCTCTCAATGGCTCTTTTAATAATTAGGAGGGAATGTACAGGTCACTGCAGGACTTACACATGCAGACAATAAAAAGAAATTATTTGTATACTGTTGATCCTTAATTCTCCCAGCATCCAACATTTGGAACATATTTCTGCTTCGCTAAAACAGAATAAATTTTATAAATCTGACCAGACGGTCTGTTTGCCAACAAATCAGCTCCCTTTAAAAAGGGGCATGGAGGGCCATGGGTATGCAGAGCCCCATCTCTGAACATGGGCTGCTGGGAGGACGTCAGGGCGCCGGGGATGAAAAAGACCCATTCAGGCCTGCAGGTGGTCCGCACCTGGGGACAGAGGGGACCTCTGACGGGGTCACCTCACTTCCTACGGTAGTGGCCGTAAACGCAGCGGCCCTGAAGGAGAGAGTTGAAGAAAAGTTCCTCTGTCCGAAGGGGCAGGAGGCTGGACTTACAGACGTGGGGCGGTGCGACAGGGACCATGTTTTGAATTTACGTTCAACGTGTTTCCTGCAGATCTAGTGGAGGAAGAATTCACACGCACCCACCCTGCCAGATTTTCTTTCTTCAGCATGTTGTTTCTCCCGTGGAAGAGTTAGCTGCCTTGCCTCCGCAGGAATGTCCCAGGCACTGAGAGCTGGAGTGTCTTCCCCTTCCTTTCCTTCCAGAAAGGCCAGCAACTTCAAGCAAGCCGAAGTCCTTTCCTCGTGAATGCGTAGTCTCGTGAACTCCACTGTCTTCAAAAACTCAGCAGCGGGTGGAAGCTCTCTGAAGAGCTGAGAAAGGAGGAGGCGGTGCTCTGACGCCGTCCTCTGAAGGTGACAGAGCGTGTCAGGGCTGGGGGGACGCCAGGCCGACCTGGAGAGGAGACGGAGGAGGTGCTGGCGGAGGTATTTCACGAAGATCAGGGTCTCGGCCCAGAAGTTGACTTCGGATTTTTCAAACAGGTAGTCGTCTTCCACCTACATGAAAAAGCCAAACATCTGCCTTACAGGGAACGTTGACAGCGCCCGGGTCCAGACCAGGCAGAGCCTGGTGGGATGCACGGCAGGCCCCTCCCCCGCCTGACGGCCCCCTCTTGCCTGTCAACACCCATGGACGGGCAGCACTGGCGGCCTTGAAGGTCACCTTCTACTTTCACTCATCGTACTTCTCCACCAGAGAGGAATTCTTCCCAGACTTAACATGACCTTTGATAAAGATGTGTTTGTGGCTGAAAGCCAAGGTACTTCGGGGACTGATGCTGAGAAGGGGACCTTGCCAGGGGAGTGGGCGCCTAGAATCTGAGGGAGGGGGTCAGCGAGCACAAGACGTGGCCTCTGAGCATGAAGCCACATGCCACCGTGCTGGGACATCAGGGCCATTTTATCGTCGCTCCTTTATCGAGTCCCACATTCTCATCCACAGGTGGCTCTTTGAGCTCTTGGCCTGTGGGGGTGCCAGGGCGGCCAGCTGAACCACATACGGGGGGCTGTGGATTTCAGCTCTGGGGATGCTTCTGCTGCTTGGTGTGGCCCTCAGTTTCTCTGCGACTGCTCCCACCCTGGAGGGGGCGAATCGTTTTCTTCAGGCAGCAAGGCCCCAGAAGGAGCCTCATTCTCTGGACACGCATTACCCTCAGACCTACTTCTAGGCAGCTCCAGCTGACGCCAGTGCTGACTAATTAGTGCTCTCCATACTTGGACCCTCAACGTTGCCAAGGGGCTTTTTTTTTTTTTGAGTTGGAGTCTCGCTCT